CCATACACTAGGACGAAACGGCCGTCCACTGCTTCCAGGTTTCTAATGGTGGTCTAACAATGATTGATTGATTGATGATTTCAAATGTGTAAAAACGCAAACCTCCAAAACTCTGCCCCAAAATATTACGAGTTCATCTTACTCGGTAAACGAGAGCGAAGACAAATAATGATTCAGTGACACGATAGGCTATTCTAATCCGTTTGTCCCCGGCCCGGTTAACTATATCAAGAAGTCTTGATATGGAGTAGAAAGTGTATTCTACAAGCACCCAGAAAACATATGAGGTTTTCAAGCACACAAATCGAGTTTATTTATACAACATGATAGAAACGTACTTGAGAGAGCCACAAAATAAGCGTACTAAAATAATACATCAACCAATAACAGTCAAGGATTTTCCGAGTGGGAAACGTAATCTCAAGGTCAAATGAGCAACTTATGCGCGAAAACACAGAAAATCCAAAATTGGGGCCTTTATCAAGTCAGTACTGGGTATCTAACGTCCTCTACAATTAGATAATCATCGTGTTACATCACAACTTCAATTAGTTCAAAATGCGCTACTATTGAACACTGAATGATTCAAAAATTCTAATAATTTTTAAACTTTTCGTCATGACTTAAAATTTCGGAGTTGTGTTCTTTTAGCCGGGTTGTGTTGTAATATTACTAGACAGTTTTATATTACATAAAGAGGGAAAAAAACAGATATTCAATGTTTCTCTTTGATTTTTCAATATTACTCAAAATGGTATCAATCTATGTCAGTCAGTTAATGATTTCTCATGTTAACTAACAATGAATATCAGTCACTTAGTCAGCAACAACACAGAACGTCGTACGTACGTGCATCGGTTCAAGTTGCCATTATGACATCAGCACAGAGGTGCGATTGTTACTTCAAATACTGTAGTAGTAAAGGTAGTAGAAGCATTAGCGCTTATCGAAAATTTCAGGGTTGGACGATAATATTCAAGAAGTAGAATCCTGTGAAATAAACGTGAAAAGAGAAAGATAAAAGTGATGAAGAATTCCGAAGGTTAAGACTTGAGAGAAAACAAAGAATGAATGCACCTGAGCCATAGCAAACAATTTTGAGCCATGTTATTCAAGGTCTCTAACCATCGATTACTATCATCTCGCGGACCCCAACCAGGCAGTCGACACTTACCGCCATGACTCAGTCCACTTGTCAGTGACTTCATGAATTTGTGCCATGTTTTGGTCTGGTCGCCCCTAACTTTCTTACAACCTATCCCTACATCGCAAAACATAGCTTGACGAGGCAGTCGGTGGTTGGGCATACGCAGCACATGTCCCAACCACCTCAACTGATGAAGTTTCACTACTTCATCTATTGATTTACAATCGTTACCTATTACTCGTTCCCTAACAACAGCACTGCTTACTCATTTGTCCCATGATATACGAGCAAGGCTGTCGAGCCACCTACGATCGAAAACCAGTAACCTACGAATATCTTCTTCTCTGACTGGCCATGTTTCACAGCCATAAAGTAGGACGGAGCGAACTGCCGCGTAGTACATTCATCCTTTAGTCAGCAAACCGATATCTCACCTACGCGCCATAAATGATGCATATTGGCGAAAGCCAACTCCAAATTTTACAAAATATATTATTATGATAATCAAGTTTGTACACTAAATGCAAATTCATTCTGTCGGGGATATTAGATTCCCAAAACTGGCTTGGTAAATGCCCCTATTTTGGTTTTCACATTTGCCAGCATGGGCCGACTAGTTGACCTGGAGATTTCATTTCCCACCAGGAAAATATCCATGGCTGTGATTGGCTGCTGTGTATTTTAGTGTTCTATTTTCGTAACTGTCCCAAGGAAATCGTTTCTGTGATGTATAAATAAACGAGAGTTGTGTGCTTGATTGTACTGGATTGTGATTGCTGGGTGTTTGTAGAATAATATACTTTCTACGCTTACCAAGTCTTCTGTTTTGTAGTTTGGGATTCAAGGCAGCCTACCTGGACGCGCTGGTTCATTGTCTCGTTCGCGTTTATCGACTAAGATGAACTCGTAAATAGTTTCAAGCGTACTTAGTGACAAACCCTACACATTCTCATTGAAATATGTATAAGATTAAAAAATAATTATTTTGAAATTAATAACTCTTAATAACAATTGATGATGATCAATCATCATGTGTACTACTGTATCGGCGAGTTTAATTAAGGGCAAAAAAATCAATATGAATGTCAGTGAATTGGACAAGAAAATGTAAACTCCAATTAATACAAATATGGATGAGTGAGACAAACAAGTGATTGAATCTTAATTTATAATTGTTTTAATAAAAAGCTTTAATTGAAATGAGGTCAGTCAGTTAGTCAGTCAGTCAGATGCAACGTAGAACTTCGTACGTGTAAGTACATCAGTTCATGTTGCCATACCACCACATTAGCACACAGAGATGTAATTGTCAATTCAAATCCCATGATAGTAGTAGAGGTAGTAAAGATATTAGAAGTAATCTGAGAGAGGTTAGGATTATAAGATATTATTCAAGAAGTATGATTCAGTGAGAAAAAGTTTAGAAAGTCAAAACTAGAGGAGTTAAAGAATCCAGAAGATTAGGATTTGAGAGAATACAAAGAATAAATGCAACGGCGCCATTGCAAACGATTTTGAGCCATGTCATTCAAGGTCTCTAACCATCGATTATTATCATCTCGTGGACCCTAACCAGGTAGTCGATAATCATCGACATGGCTAAGTCCATTCGTCAATGAATTCATGGATTTCTGCCATGTTTTGATTTGACCACCCATAACTTTCTTCCAACCTACTACTCCTACACTACAAAACAAAGCTCGACGAGGCAGTCGGTGGTTGGGCATACGCAACACATGTCCCAATGGAAATAAGGAATCAATCATTGTTAGATCAGTATTACAGTAAGCAATGCTGTTGTCGTTAGGAAATAGGTAATGAGTAAGGATAGTAGATTAGTTGATGAAATAATGAAACTTTGTCTGTTGAGATGGTAGGGACATGTTTTACGAATGCCAAACTACTGACTACTTCGACGAACTATGATTTGTGGTGTTTGAGTAAGTTGAATGAAAGCTATCAGCGGCCAGACTAAAAGATGACACAAATCGATAAAGTCACTGACAAGTGGAATGAGTCATGTTGGTAAGTGTAGACTACCTGATTGGGGTCTGCGAGGCAATATGTAACTTATAGTTAGAGAGTTTGAATGAAAATTGTTTTCAAAAGGGCAGATACATTCATGGTTTGTGTTCTCTCAGATTTTAATCTTCTGAGTTCCTGATGACTTTCATCTTTATCTTCTCAAATTCATTTTACTGGATTATACTTCTTGAATAATATCTTCGAACCCTTAACTTTCCGATTACGGCTCATAATTCTACTGCAACTACCACTATGGGATTTGAATTGACGATTGTGCTTCTGTGTACTAATGCGGTATGTTAACCTAAGCTGATGTATGTACGTACGAAGTTCTACGTTTATTACTGACTGACTGACTGACTGACTGACTGACTGACTGAATAATTATAATAATAAGCTTAGTTGAAATGATGAATCGATCTTTGTTATAGACCATCAGTAGAAAGAAACATGGAAGCACTGAAAAACGGTTTTGAGCCATGTCATTCAGGGTCTTCAACCCTCGATTACTATCATCTTCCAGACCCAAACCAGGTAGTTGACACCTACCGATGTGACTCAGTCCACTTGTCAGTGACTTCATGGGTTTGTGCCATGTATTGTTTTGGCCACCCTTAACTTTCTTCCAACCTACTTCTAAATCGCAAAACATAGCTCGACAAGGCAGTCGATGGTTAGGCATACGCAGTTCATGTCCCAACCACCTAAACTGATGAAGTTTCATTACTTCATCGATTGATCTGCCATCCTTACCTAGCACCCGTTTCCTAATAACAGCATTGCTTACTCGGTTGTCACAGGATGCTTCGGAGACACCTATGATCGAAAACCAGTAACCTACGAATATTTTCTATTCTGACTGGCCATGTTTCGCAGCAATAAACTAGAACCCTAATCTTCTCCATTACTGCTGTAGTGAAGGAGAACACAGATGAGGGCAACCGAATTGTATTTAACGAAAATTACAGAGTTACTCAGTAAAATAGGAAAACCATATCGTAAACGGTTAATTTGCAAATCTTCAATCCATCATCAATCCATTGTCTGACATTTCACCACTATTCATGCATTTCATACAAATCTCATTGTGTTCCCACTCTTCTTCCTTTCTCTTGATCTTCCCCCCCATCTTCTGCTGCCACCAGACATTACGTTTGCACTCACGTCATATACTACTTATAAGTAGCTCGCACCACACTATACTTCTACTACATTTTACTACTATGGGATTTGAATTGACAACCGCATCCCTCTGTGCTAATGTGGTATTGTAACCTAAACTGATATATGTACGTACGAAGTTCTACCTTGATTACTGACTGACTGACTGACTGAATTATTATAATAATAAGCTTAGTTGAAATAATGAATCGGTTATCATTAGACAACCATTAGAAAAACCTGAAAGCACTTAGAAATGGCCTTTTCGTGACTTATCAATGTCAGTGCACATCCAGAATGATCCTTCGGTGGGAATACGGCAGTTGCTCAACGAACACAATGGATGAGGTTGCAAAATATTTCTCATTGATCAAAATTTAGTCATTAACACCGTTAGATGTAGAGACTCAGTTGAGTCTTTAAGTTAAGCATTCACGCACAAGACCAAAGGTTCCAGGTTTGATTCCCGCGTACAAGGATTCATGAATGTTCATTGCCACTGATAAACCCCACACCAGGACGAAACTGCTGTCTTTCAATGCTTCTAGATTTCTAATGGTGGTCTAACATTGATCGATTCATAGTTTTAATGAGTAAGATCACACCTAATCTCCATAACTCTATATACTGACGAAACTTAACAACATAACATTTGAAATCACAGAAATTATTTGATTATTCTATCATAACTTACAGTTAATAAATCTTTTTCTGAGACAATATGATTATGACCGTATGAATAAGTTTTTGCCTTATTCTGTTGTTGTGATTTCGATTCAACCACGACTAATCCGATTCGATTATCGATTACCTCATTGAATCGATTTTTCTCATGAATATTGTCGTTGATTGTCAAGTTTATTCCTACATCATCATTGTTGTCTTCTTCATAATGATGTGAAATTGATTCTTGTGATTCATTTATAATGGAGTATATGGTGGAAATCTCGACGATATCTTGAAATGTCACTTGTTTTTCAGATTTTTTTAATGGACTCAATGAATTTGTTGGTAATTTTTTAATACTACTGTTATTATTATTATGAGTAGTAGTAGTATTGATATCAATCATGTGATCATTATTTTCTGTACTTAATGAAGCTGTATAACTACTATTCATTAAATCTTCATCAATAGTTGTATGTGAATTAGTTTCATTGTCATTCCTGTCACATTCATCATCGTCATTATGGTCGGTTGTTGTAGTTGTCATCGTGGTGGTGAATGGTCGTGTCGGTGATGCTGATGGTGTCGTAACTGTATCTACACTAACATTCATTGGTGAACATCTGGCATGATTAATTAGACTTTCAGTTTCATCGAAATACATTTCATCTATACCATCATTATGAGTAGTAGTTTTGTTAGTAGTAGTAGTACATGTCGACTGTAATACTTCATTATTACAATGGTGAAAATTCATTTCTAGTTCTTTTTATTTTATAAAAACATGTTTATAAATTCCAATTTGTTCAATACATTATTGAATCGTTGTTTTTGTTTCATTTTCCGCCATTTTTTTAAAAATAGAAACTATGTTTCTGTACAAACTATTATTTTTTTTGCATGTTACATTGTTTAGTAAGAAAAAATGAGTAAAAAAAATATAATCCTTACAATTTTTTTAAATCACTGCAAGCAACTCGTTTTCAAAAAAAAAATAATTTAGAAACGAACGAACTAATGAATTAACTCGTTAACTAACTCATTAATTCATTGGCTAATTAATTTTTAACCAATCAGAATTTAAGTTTTAAAATAAAAAAACATTTTATTTCTTGATCAAAAAAATATTAATTAACCAATCAAATGAATGGAATTATTTTATATGTGTATAGATAGAAGTGATTTAAATAAAAGTTACTGAAATAAATTGTTTGATTAGTAGTTTGAAAGGAAAAGTTTATTTTGTAAGTTGTTTAGGACATGAACACTGTTGAATGTAAACTTAACGGTCAAGAGGTTAATTGTTCGTAAAAAGATCAAACATCTTGGGTTTGATTTGCATTTACAGAATTGTGGATATATACTATCAGTTAGGTGTTGGTAACTAGAATTAACCCCTCCTAGAGCAGCTCTTCTAGGGTTACTTCCGGTCCCAAACCTGAATAAAGGAGGAGGGTTTAGCATGAGGTATTGTGTGCGAATGCTTAACCAATAGAATAACCTAAGCCTATATCCAATTTAACTCTGATCAATATAGGGATTTCGCAAGACCTCACCCATTTGTTTTCGGTAATTACTGACTACACCCAACAAGGTTGTACAGTACTGGTCAGAGCTTCTGATTAGAACTCCGAGAATTCACTCCTTATACCATAACATAAGCAAACTTCATCAGTCCTTATTTGCTAACTGAACACTGGATACACACACTAGCTTAATGATAATCAGTAGTGAGTGTAATAAGTTTTTACTATTTATGTTACTTAAACATTTTTGTTAAGAATTTTTGAAGTTGAATAACATTGAATCGAAATTCATCCGTTAGTCAAAAAAAACAACGTAGAACTTCGTACGTAAGTAAATCAGTTCAAGTTGCCATACCGCATTATCACAGAGATACCATTGTCATTTCAAATCCCATAATGGTAGATATGTGGTGTGAGCTACTTATAAGTAGTATATGAAGTGAGTGTCAACGTAATGTCCGGCAGCAGAAGATGGGGGAAGATCAAGAAAGGAAGAACAGTGGGAACACAATGGAATTTGTATGAAACGCATGAATAGTGAGTGACAATGGATTGATGTTTTGCAACAGGAACAATCCAGTTTGATATGATGAACTGATATTTTGCAAATTAACGATTTACGATATGGTTTTCCGATTTTACTGAGTAACTCTGTAATTTTCGTTAAATACAATTCGGTTGCCCCACCTGTGTTCTCGTTCACTACAGATATAGCAGGATTATTAGCGGTTATGGAGAAGACTAGGGTTCGAAGATATTACTCAAGAAATATGATTCAGTGAAATAGATTTGAGAATAGAGAAACAAAAGCGATGAGGAATTCAGAAGATGAAAATCTGAGAGAAGACAAAGAGTGGATGCACCTGCGTCATTGCAAATGATTTTGAGCCATGTCATTCAAGTTCTCTAACCATTGGTGACTTTCGTCTCACGGATCCCAACCAAGTAATCAACATTTACTAACATGAGTTAGTCCACTTGTCAGTGACTTTATGGATTTGTTTCAAGTTTTGGTTTGACCGTCTCTTACTTTCTTCCAACCTATTCCTATATCACAAACTATAGCTTCTCAAGGCATTTGGTGGTTGACCATACATAATAGATGTCCCAACCACCTCAATTCATCATTAAAAGTACATTACAAATACATCTTATTGACCAATACCATCCTGTAAAAATCTTACTAATAACAATCAGTGCCAACCAGAGAAAATAATTCACTGATCGGGACAGCCTATGCTTCATTAAGGGTAACAGGTGTAAATAAAAAGAACTGATTAATTAATCTCTGTTGAAGACATTTATGTTACATTTTGAGTAGATTATTTAAATAACATGATTCAGTCATACTTTTATTTTAGTGAAACTCAGGAAATGAAGGTTAGATATATCTGTTAAGAAATATAGAACACATTTTTGAAACCATGAATCGATCATTGTTAGACCAGCATCAGAAACCTGGAAGCACTGGACGGCCATTTCGTCCTGATATGAGAATAATCAGCAGTGCACATCCACGACTCCTGCACCCCGCTGAGGAGTCCCATACCAGGACGAAACGGCCTTCCAGTGCTTCCAGGTTTGTCTAATGGTGTTGGTCTAACATTGGTCGATTCATGGTTTCAAAAATGTGTAACTTAACAATCTTCACAACACCGTAATGTCAACTACGTTTGACTGATAAATGACACCTTGGTTGTTGTTATGATTTTTCAAGGAAATCGATAAAAATGAGTATGGTGTTCAAGTCTTTTTTTATAACGTTAAATCAGTTTGTTTCAACAATTTTTTTTGTTAAGGTAGAAATAAATGTTAACTAACAATGGAAATTGAGACTTGCGTTTCATTTTTTTTCTAGCGCTTCTCAGTAGTTTTTCATAGCCCATGATCTAACCTCACTTCAATTACCGTGTATATCATACTTAAGCGAACCCCATTTGTGCGACGCGGTAATAACAATCCCAAAATGGATTCTAGTTGAATAAGTTTACTTCATATAATCGTTTACGCACACAAACAGATATGAGAATCTACAAGGGTGTTAAGGCAAAGTGAAGTAAAGTGGAGTAGGCGAATGAGTCCAATTCAATGTACTGAAGCATGAACAAGTATTTTGTTTTAGTCAGACATAAATAAACTAAGCATGTGATAATCCAATTAAGCAATGCACACACGCACCCAAAATAAAATCACTCAAGGTTAGAAGCCAATAAATAGATGACAAGGTCAAACAAACGTACAACAATTAATTTGAATAGAAAAGGATTAACTCGCTTCTCCAAAAGCTATAACAAGTTATATGACCTTAACATATCATCAGTACATACACTATATGTAAATCGGAAAACGTGTTAAGGTTTTAAATGAACACTGATGAGTTCAACTCCAAGCGTGAACATCTACTCAAGGCTACAAGATACATCCATTTTGACGTTTCAAGACATGGTGGATATTGGCTTCCATAGTCAAACACCGTTAGAAACCTGGAAGAAGCATTGAAATACGGCCGTTTGGTCCTGGTATGGGACTCATCAATGCTCAGTGCGCATCCACGACTCCTCCTTCTGCTCGTGGTTGTATTCCGTGCAAATATCTACATATTTCTTTGAAACCATGAATCGATCAATGTTAGACCACCATTAGAAACCTGGAAGCGCTGGACGGCCGTTTCATCCTGGTATGGGACTCAACAGCAGTGCGCATCCACGATTCCTGCACCTCGCAGGATTCGGACCCAGAACCTTCGGTCTTGTGTGCGAACGCCTAATCTCTTGACCATTAAGCCGGTATCTAACGGTGTTAATGTTTAACTTGATCAAAGTCACGTAGTTGCGCAACCTCATACAGTCTTCGGTAGTAGTTACTGGCTACAGCCGAACAGATTGAACTTAATTGGTCATGCACTTCCCACCACTAGAACTCGGAGAAGATTCCTCACGAAGCTAGACGTCACTAGTGAGCACAGGTAATATGCATTACGAGGTTGTGAAGATTGTTAAGTTGAACATTTTTTGAAACCATGAATCGATCAATGTTAGACTACAATACTAAAGGACCTGGTTTCGAATCCTGTGGGGTGCAGGAGCCGTGGATGCGCACTGCTACTGATGAGTCCCATACCAGGACGAAACGGCCGTCCAGTGCTTCCACGTTCCTAATGGTGGTCTAACATTGATCGATTCATGGTTTCAAAAAATGTGTAACGTAACAATCTTCACAACCCCGTAATGCAAATAACAAAATCATCCTAATTTCTTTTAAAACAAAAAAAAATCTATATTGAAACATTGAAACATTTTTTCATTTTGTTTAAATTGATTCACATGTTAAAAAAACAAATTGGCGGATGAATGAGCGCGCGCGCACACACACACACATAGACACACACGCATGCGTGCACTCGTATACACACTCATGTTGTATATTGTATAATTTTAGGGAAAATAAATTATTATTATTCTTGTTTTAATTTGAACAAACAAACAATCAAACAAACTTGGATATATACAATTGAACATATTGAACTTGCATAAAAAAGAGATAAACGGACAGTAATGAGTCCGTGTACTTGTGTGTGTCTGTGTGTACGAGATACAATGGGATAGAAAGACAGAGAATAAATAAGTCAACGATTGAAAGAGTAATAATTAAAATGAATTATTCAATTTAATAACAATTAAATAAATATTTATTTACTTATATTATTATCTTTAGTAAATTTATTACTGTACATTAAAAAGTTTCATGAAATTATTTAAAAAATCGATTTTTTATGAGTATTGGCCAAATCAAAATATGACAGAAATGCATGAAATCAACTAACAAGTGGATTGAGTCATGTTGTTAGATGTAGGCTACATGGTTGGTGTCGTGTTTCCGCGAGATGATAGTAATCGATGGTTTAGAGACACTACCAAAACCATTATCTAGAAGATACAAGTGTGTTTATTAACAGTTGTCTATAGAAAAAATACTTCGGACTCGTTGGTCAGACACTATCAGTAACAACGTACTGTGGGAGAGAACAAATCAGATTCCAGGGGGGGGAGGAAATTAGGAAGAAGCACTTCTGGAAGTGGATAAGACGCACACTACGTAAAGCACCCAACTGCGTCACAAGACAAGCCCTCACTTGGAACCCTCAAGGTCAAATGAAAAAAGGAAGGCCAAAGAATACATTACGCCGAGAAATAGAGAAAGATATGAGAAGAAGGAACAAACATTGGACAGA